GAACCAGAGAAAGAGAGCCAGGATGGTACTGCACCCCCAGTCGTCCCTTCCTTTTCCAACAAATTCACTTCGCTTCCTCTGTCACCTTCCCATGAGCCCTCCCATCTCCTCTTCAAAGAGGGATCTGGGTACCACACCTCACCTCACTACTGGAGACGTTCAAATTCTTGATGTCAGAAGCATTCTGTGTAGCATCAGACAGGCCACCCAGCTGGCAGAGTCTCTTGTTGCTCAAATCCAAGGACAAAATCTATGATGGAGAAAGAGAGTGAGGACCCCAACAGGGGATGTTTGAGGCCAATCTGCCTCTTCTGCCTAATCTGTCCCACCCTCACCATCAGTCCCAACATTGGGCCTAAGTCCTCACCTTGGGCATGTTCTCTCCACGGATCTGCAGAGGGGCAGGCATGCGATATCTCGGATTCCGTGGCATTTCAACATTACAGGTCATCAAGCCTCCAGGAAGCCAACAGGAGGGAAACAGAAAGCTGAGAGGGTCCTGCCTGCACCAACCCCTCCCAGAGTTACGATCCCGAAGGTCTTTCTCAGGCAGACCCCTCTGCCCTCACCTGCCCTGGGATTACTGCTATAGCCATACCAGATCCAAAGCAGAGTCTCTGGCTGTTAAGAAATGCCTGGGAGGCATCAAACAGTTTGTTCATGGTCAGCTGCAGAGTTAAAGACGGGGTTCAGTGGCTCTGAGTCTGAGGTGTTGATCGGGGAGCAATAGGTGGATCTGGCTGTGGGGCAGAACTTGTGTTGAGTCTGCATTACCTTTATCTGCTCCACCTTTTCTGACTGCAGCTCCTTCTGCATAGAATACGGTGCATCACAGGGGTCAACAAAGACAGATATCTGCAGGGAGCATAAGAGGGGCTGGGTAAGCACCAGAAATCTGAGCCTTGGGATCAAGCAAGACCATGCCCCTGCCCTGCCCTCTTGCTCCCAGGTGCCCTTGACACATACCCTTTCATTGTTCTCAGTGCAAATCTTGCCACTGACATTCTTCAGAGCAAAGGCAACGTTGGCATTCTCAACAAAGAACTGGGCCTGCATTTGCTTATAATGAAACTACGGGGAGTGACAAGAGAAAGACAATATGAGACCAGAGTCATTTCTCATCTGGACCATCCATCTACCCCGTTTCCTCTCATTGGCCTCGACGTCCTCTCTTACTTCAACTGGAGTGAAGGGGACACTGCAGTACTTCTGAATCAAATTCAGCAGCCACTTCTCCTCATATTTTATGCCAAATGGAATCTGGGGGGCAAAGAGAAAAATGGGAGAGGAAATTGATACAATAGAATATAAGTTTAAGATAAGACCCAACCAGGTCTTCCTTTCAGACTTTTTTTTTTCAAGCTTTAAATAATTTTTTACGCTAGGTCGATATTTGTTATTGTACCACATGTGGATTTTCTAAATATCGTTTCTTCCCCTCAAACACTTTTCTTGAAATAATCAACTTAATATGCTTAACACGTACTTCTTTTTGTAAAGTTCCAAGAGACCCTACCTAAGGCAGACCTGGCCTGCCCCTCTGACAAGGACCCCAGAGACGCAGCCTCCTCCCACACTCAGCCTGAGCCAAACTGAGCTTTGTGGTATGAAGTTGCTCCATCTTGACAGTAGTTTCCTCCTTTGCTTTTAGACAACCTCTCCCATGCTCCCTGCAGTCAGTCTGTTCCCTTCATATTGCTTCTCTGAATCTTCTCTTAGATGGTCTAGGATGTTAACTTCTAATAATAACAAGACACATAACCAACTCCTCTGCCCCAGAAAAGTTCATACCATCTCTACCCGATTCCAACACAACTCCCTCTGTTCACCTTCTTCTACGTATTAGGTCCATTTAGTCAGGACACTCACTGTGATCTTGAACCAGCTTCCCATGGTCTCAGCCCGCCTGCTTCTCTCCATTCTTCTCTCTGGAGGCTTCTGCTCTGTCTCCATGTTAACATGAGCTTGGTCTCCTTCCTGAAAATTGCCTCTCTGATGAGAGGGTGGAATGGCATAGGGAGCACTGTGGGGAAGTGGAGACAAGAAAGGGGTCCATATATGCTCAGAAAGTCTTGTAAACATTTTCCCCAATGATACCAGAGCTACAATAAAGTTTACTTGATCATGAACCTGATCCTGTCATTCCTCACTCTTCCAGGTTGGAGAGAAGAA